CACTCACAGATTCAGACTCAGAGAGGCACAGTGATCCCCCCCAGCTCACACAGCAACGGAGGGACACTAGACAAGCTGAGGTTAATCGGGTGAATCATCCCTGTTGGCCTTGGCAAGTTCCCACCAGACAGCTCCGGGTTCCGTCTTCTTTTTAAATTAATTATTATTTTCACCATACAAAGCATGGGCTCTCAGGTGATCATTTAATCCATGTGTACAGTGTGTAATGGCCAAATCAGGAAAGCTAACATTTCTTTTTGGTTGTAGTTGGACACAACACCTTTATTTATTTATCTATTTATAGGTGGTGCTGAGGATCGAACCCAGGGCCTCATGCGTGCGAGGCGAGCACCCTACCGCTGAGCCACAACCCCAGCCCCAGAGTAGCTGACATTTCTATCTCAAATATCTTAAAATATTTCGATGGACACAGAATAATCGGACATAGTTATGGGGCACAATCAAATATTTTGAGACCTGTAACACAGGTCTGTGTTTGAATCTAGGTAACGAACATTTCCATTGCAAGTGGAGACTTAGAGCTTCTCCTTAGCTCTTCATGAAGGGTATGACAGGAGGGTCGGAGCTGTAGCTCCGTGACAGGGGACTTGCGGAGCATGCATGAGGCTTGGCTTCCAGCGTCAGCCCTGTCAAAAATAGAGAGAGGGTGGGGGAGACTGCCTCTTCCTTTCTTCTTTGGTGAATATTCGTAGTGAACTCAAGTTCAAGCTTGGCTCTGCAGACACGGGTGCCGAGATCCCAGGAGAGTTGCTGGCCCTCTCTGCCCCAGCTTTCCCCATCTGTGAAATGGGCGGATTAACTGCACCTGCCCAAATAGTGCTCGTGAAGTGCTTCCTACTTCGCCCACCCCAGCATCCTCCAGAAAAGCTGTGGTTGACATTCCACATGTCCCCTGAGATGGGAGACCCATAGTGGAGACGCCCGAAACTGGCTGAATCTGACCAGACTGGTGTGCCTTTTAGACTGGAGGGACTTCTGGGGTCTTCTAAACCTCACAAGCTCCTGGCCCCTGACCGCCAGTCACCTCTGCACCCGCTGCACCTGCAGACTCCACAGGGGACCCAGAGATCCATGCAGTAAGGAGGGATCCAGCGGGGATCTTCAAAACAGAGCCTCCTCCGGTCTCCAGCACAGGGTCTGGACAGCAAGATGGGGCTTTCCACCAGCCCAGGGCATAGGCCATGCTTTCTCTACGTCCGCACCGTTGAGCCTTTGAGCTGGGTAATCCTGGGTGGGAAGGGGTGGGAAGAACCGTCCTGTGCATGAGGGTGCTCCGGGGTGTCCCTGGCCTCCACCTCCTAGCCTCTAGTACGAACCTCCACCATGTCCATCAACCAAATGTGTCTCTGAACACTGCCACGTGCCCCTTAGGAGACAAAACCCCATTGATGTAAAAGAAGCTTTCTGGCCTAGGAAGGGACAGGAGTGGGGACAGACACTCTGGTGGATAGAAGGAAAAGAGAAGGGGAGGGCAGGGGTGGCGGGGATTCCTGCTGGCCTTACACGGGAAAGGGGATGTTTGACCCCTAACTGATCACATCGGTGCCCCCAGAGACGGGTGGGGATCTCCTGCCCCTCCTGCTCCTCGCCAAGGGCCCCCCTCCTCCTGTTTCTCTTAATAAGGGCGCGATTCCGTGCTGTAAATATTGATGGTTTTTTTTTTTTAAATTTTTTTTTTTTAAGAGAGAGTGAGAGAGAGGGGGGCACAGAGAGAGAGAGAGAGAATTTTAACATTTATTTATTTTTTCTTAATTCTCGGCGGACACAACATCATTGTTGGTATGTGGTGCTGCTGGGGATCGAACCCGGGCCGCACGCATGCTAGGCGAGCGCGCTACCGCTTGAGCCACATCCCCAGCCCCCTTGATGGTTTTCTGTAGACAAGGCCCCTCTTGCGTTCGGTAGACAGTCACAGGTGGACGTGTGCAAACTCACGGGATGTGGAGGTCTCCCCTGCTCAGCTATGGACAGCTGGGGGGGGGCGGGGGCAGCTGGGTAAAGCTCCTTCACCTTGGACCCTCGGCCACTAGCACAGCCCCTGGCACACAGTAGGTGCCCCAGACATGGTTACCAAGTGAGCAAACGACGGAGGATGCTTTTTGAACATCTCGTTTACCTTTATATACACCACTCCCCCAGCCCAGTCCCATAGCGGCTCCAGGTTTTGTTCTGGGGCTCAAGGGGAGGGATAAGGAACGGAGACTTGTCTTTGTAGAATGTTTTCATTACGTAAAGGAAGGTTCCCCTCTAGGGTCACCGTGACCACAGTGGCCCAGATAGAGCCTCTGGACAGGAGCTCTGTGGGAAGCTTGGTCAGCCCTGGCCCCGGGATGGGGTGTTGAAAAGCCCTTTGGTGACTCTGAGACTTGGCCTCCCACCCTCTGCCTTCTGCATCCATTCCAGGCCCAACAGAGTAGATGTGCTTTCTCAACGAGGACGGCCACTCTCCCAGGACACACTGTCCTTTATAAAGAGGAAAGAACGCAGCCTCCATGGCACCAGCCAACATGCGGGCTGCTGCCCTCTCCCCCAGCTCCCAGCACCCCCAGGAGGCAGACACAGCTCCCGTCCCCGTCCCCGTGGACAGAGATTCCCAGAGGCTGCGCAGCTGGGCGCTCGGCATCGGAGCTGGGCCGGAAGCCTCCTATCAACAGGTAGGAAAAGAGCTCCTGACCGACAACGTGAGATGGTAACAGATGAGACTCACCTCTTTCCTTGCACCGCCTTCTCCCAGCCCTGGGACATCCTGAGCCTCTCCTTCTCTCCCATCCAAGGCTCTGACACCAATTAAACCCACCAAGGTGATCTCTCCCGGACACTTTAGGGGACAGACACAGACTTTGACCCCCACTCCACAGACTCAGAAACTGAGGCCCAGAGAGGCTAAGTGACTTGCCCAAGGTCACGTAGCTAGTGAGAGGTGTCACCAGACCCCAGCCTAGGAGAAAAGGGCCCAGAGTCTGGGCTGTCCATGGACTGTGTCCCCGCCACCACACGCGGGGCTGGCGGGCTTTCCAAAGCTGAGTGGTCCCCATGTCTTCCCGGGCTTCCGACTGCCACCCTCTTATCCGGACCCAACTGAAGGTGAGCCACCTGAGAACCAGTGAAAGCCACCCTCCAAGGCCATCACCCCATTTCTCTTCCCTGACTCAATCCTGCACCCAACCTGCAGATTTCCCCCCCCCCCCCCCAAGGACTGTGTTCTCTTGTGGTCCCTTAAGCAAGATTTTTTCCTCTTCTTTTATCCAAAATGGGAATGCACACAGTTAGCTGCAGAACCCAGAAGATGGACCAATAAAGCGCAGTCCTTCTTCAGCTCTGCCCATCCATCTCCACCTACTGCTGCGTCTCTGAGGCCATCCATGTGCTCCATCATTATTTGTTCATCCAAAAAATATGCACCAAACCACTATGTTCCAGTACCTAGCTGGGCATTTAGGGGTTAAACAGTAGACACGATCTACAGTCCCTCTGCCCTCATGGAATGGATATTTTATTAAGGAAGACAGATAATATGCAACTAAACATATTATCAGGATGATTCTAAGCCAGGCATGATGGTGTAATCTCAGCTACTCAGGAGGCTGAGGCAGGAGGACCACAAGTTTGAGGCCAGCCTCAGCAATTCAGTGAGACCCTGCTTCAAGATAAAAACAAAAAGGGTCAGGAGGTGGCTCAGTTGTAGAGCACTCCTGGGTTGGATCCCCAGTAGTACAAACTAAAAACAAATAGGATAAGTCTAGATATTAATAAGGGCTACAAGGGCTGGGGTTGTGGCTTGGTGGTAGAGCGCTTGCCTCCCGTGTGTGAGGCATTGGGTTTGATTCTCAGCACCACAAACAAATAAATGACTCAAATAAAGGTTCATCAACAACTAAAAAAGAAATTTTAAATAAGGGCTATAAGAAAAATAGAGACTGCAGAGGGACGGGGGAGGGAATGTTTTTAAGTAAAACGGTCAGGAAAGACTTCGTTAAGTAATTGACATTTGAGCTGAGACCTCAGTGATAGGAAGGAGCCAACCCTGTAAGGATCAGAGGGCAGAAGAGCAAGCCAAGCGCAAAGGTCTGGAGGTGAGAAAAGCGAGGCCTGTGTGAGGCCCAGCAGGGGGGTGAATGTGCAGGGTACAGAGATAGGAAGGGGGAGCCCTCGAGGAGAGGTGGGCAGGAGCCAATCACAAAGAGCCCTTCACACCAGGATGAGGAGTATGGATTGTGTTCTCAGTGCAACGGGAGCTGCCGGAGGGTTAAAGGCAGAAATGACAAGATCTGATTTATGATTTTAAAATATAACCTTAGTTATAGTGTAGAGAATAGATGGAAGAGGAGGTGAGCATTGGAGGAATGGGGGACCTGGTCAGGAGGAGGCTGCTATAAAACAGATGAGCTGGGGTGACTGAGACCAGAGTGCTAATGCAGGAAGGTGAGGAGCAGGCGAGTTGGGAGGCAGAGCTGGCTGACTTCACTGACGGATTGGACCAGAGGCAGGAGAGGAGCTGCGGTGGGGGAGCGGGGTCCGAGAGGACTCCCAGGTGTGAGCCCCGCAGAATTTCACACTGAGCTGGTCCCATTGGAGGGGGGGTGAGCCACCCGACCCCACAAAGGGACAGGCCTCTCTTCTCGCCATTATTTCTTGCTTTCAGAGTTACCACTAAAGCTCACTTCCAAACACAGACCACAAGCCAAGGTGGTCTGGGAAACCAAAGAGACTCTGCTTTTTAAAAAGTTATCAGTCTCACCGCTGGTCCATTCCCAGTGCAGCCATCTGTGTGGCTCCCCTGTAAAGCATGGAGTATCAGAGCAGGCACAGGATCCAAAGCCCACAAAACCTGGATAGCAACACAGGTCCTTTCTGTGTGATCATAAGTAACAATAAATGTTTCAGAGCCTCCGTTTTTCTCATCTATAAAATGGGTCCAGAATAAACATCGACTCTTTTTTCAGAGTTGCAGTGAAGATCAAGGAATCCAATGCACATTGTGATCACTCAAAAAAATGACTTTATTATCATTTTTCTTATGCCTTACTACCCAAGGTGAGGGCTTCCCTTATGACACATGGAGGTTCTGTGTTCTGAGAGGCTGAAAGGCTTGTGACCTCAAGGCTTTGGTCTTAATTACAGATCTAAGTGTATTTGGATAAGAAGCTAACAGTCCGGATCTGCAGGAACTGGAGTACCACTGTCCCCATCCCATAGATGCAACCTCTTGTTACAAATGATCCCAGTTGGAGAATTCAGGTTATTTTGCCTTCATGGGCAAAGAAAATATCTACAATATTCCATGGAGAACCAGACAGTCGTATGCCACTGAATTAACGGGGAACCCTCTCCATATGTAATGGTGATGTCAACAGCTGGACTTGGCTGACACCTCTGCACTGGGGAGGTTTGAAGTGTAGTGAGAAGATCAAATAAAGAGGGGCCCATGGGGCCTCGGGGCTCCCGGGGAGGCAGTGCATCTATGAGATGCCACTGGGAACAAACCCATGTGCACGAAATGGGTGCTCTTTCCCAGGGAGAGAGTTTGTGATTGTTCCTCTCTCTAGCACACAAACTCCCCTAGATGGGTGCCACATGCAAATTTGAACAGAGGTGTGGACACTTGGTTGCGTCCATGCTGGGCACTTAGATTACACCTAGGATGTTTAGAAAATGAAGCACCAGATGATCCCTTTGTATCCAAACTTTCCAAAGGCATCATGCCCCTCTGAGTAATCCCAAAGGTCGCTATCCCTAAAGCTCTCGTCTCTGCCTCAAAGGGTTAAGCCAACTTATGTCCCTTACTGGGACCCTCACAAAACCTCTTTCTTTCCTCCATTAGGCAGGTGCCTTTGTCTCCTCACCTTCCCATGCAGCCACCAAGCCTTCCAGCTCCTAGATTTTTCTACCCCAGAAATTAAAGTGGCAGGGAATCTGGTATTCCCCAAACCAAAATTTCAAATCTAAACTCCCGGCCTCCTCTTCACAATAAGTCCATGGGCAGATTCGTGGTATTCACGACAGTTTCGTTCTATTGTTTACAACGTGAATTTTCATTTCTTGGGAGGGTGGGGAAGAGCTACTTGTGTCTTTTATGGAACATAGTTAAAATGAGCCTTCTTACAGAATTTATCTAAGCAACAAGAAATCGTTTCTTAATCAATCGTTTCATCCTTTGAGATTGCATTCTATATTGGCCCGAGTATAGGACACGGTTCTAAGGAGAGGCAAAGGGAAAAGGGGTGAAATACATTCAAGGGGCGGCAGGAGTCACAAAGTGAAGACGCAAATCAAGGATCCCCGAGGAGCAGGCCGACTGCAGCAGCCCCTCGCCCCCCAAGGCGGTGCGGAAGGTTCAGCACCGCGGACAGCTCCCGGCTCCGGCTCCCGGCTCCTGTCTTTGTCTAGGTCCAAACTCCGGCGCTAGTGCAGACCCTGCAGCCGCCACAGGCGCGCCCCTGCCTCGTGCGACAAACCTGCTTGGGAGAGAAAGAGACAGAGAGCAGAGCAGGGCGGTAGAAGCCTTTTTCTATCCTCTTCCCGCCTCCTCCGAACTTGGCCCTGACCCCATCCCGCTGCATCAGAGGGGTCGATGTTAACTTGGGTTCACCGGAAACCTCGCTTCTGTCTACCTGGTATTGGGGTGAGTGTTGAGGGCCGGGGGTCTCCATGGCGAGGGCAGTTTTGGTTTGGAATTCGTTTCAGTGTTACTGCCCGAGGCCCCAGCCACATCACCTCGCCTTGGATTAAAACAAAAATACAAACATAAAAGGCACACACACACACACACACACACACACACACACACACACACACACACACACGGCGATGTCCAGCGCTTCGCGGGTGCGTCTCCCGGCACCGCACAAATGCCCGGTCCAGCTGAGCTTTTCGCCCCAAGACCCGAAACCTCAAATCCAGGGGAGGGAAAACCAAAAGTCCGAGAAGCCAGATAGGATGACACCGCGCGTCTTCCAACGCAGCCACGTCCCCCTAGAGAGGGGCGATGGATGCATGGGACGAGCCTGTGCACCTCCCGTGCACCAACGCCGCAGCGCTGCTTCTCTCTTTGCCCACAAAAGCGTCTGGCTCCGAGTTCAACACGCCACCGAGGCTGCTCAAAATATTTGTTTTTTATGGGTCATTTCGTAGGATCCAGGATAAAAAGGGATTTCTTCCCACGTTCTGCTCAGCCAGAAACCTCGCCTCCCCCAGGATGTGGAAAACGCGAGCTCGTGAAGCTCGCTCTCCAAATCCCACACCCACCTGCGTAAACACACACGCACACACACACACACACACACACACACACACACACGCTCTCTAGCCCGGGGTCAATGAAGTTCTGCGCCTCCCCGAGCTTGGAGAAGTAGGCGGCCACGCTCCCCTTCCATTCTCCGGAATCCGTTCCCCCACAGGAGTCCCCGGGCAGGGGCAGAAGGGCAAAGTAACTTTAAGAACGAACCGCCGGCAAGGGGGTCTGCAAATGCGTTGGTAGGAAAGAAAGGATTCTTTGCAGACCCCCTGAAGCTTGGGGGCCCGCCTTTGGGCATCGCAGGGCGCAAGGAGACCTCAGCCACCAACCAACCAGCCCTGAGATCCCCCAATCGCGGTGAATTCATTTGTACTCGCCTCCAAGATAAGGCACCTCACCCCCACACACACAAACACACACACACACACCCCTCCAAAAAATCCCTGAATTTTTTTTTTCTTCTAAACAGAATTCTGCCCTCCCCGCCCTCCTCCCCAAGAAACCTGTGGGGGAGAAAGGCCACCGCGCAGGCTGAGCAGCTCGGAGGAGTTTCCGAGAACGCCCCGTCCCTGCTGCGGTTCCTGCGGAGCAGAAGGGCGCACAGCGGGGTAAACATACTCGCCTTGGGAGGAAAGAGCTGGGGTCGCCTTCCCTGGTCCCCTCCCCCCTCCCTGGATCCGCCGCGGTGGGCGCCTGGGGGGGGTAGCCGCGCCCCCCGCACACACCAGCCCGCTGTGGCGCGCAGGGTTCAGCCCCGCTGCTGTGTAAACCGCCGCTTTCCGATGCAGATTTCCCTTTTAACACCTTCTAAACAAAGGCTAATGAGGCCACTGCATTACTCTATCAACACACAATCATTAGCAACCGAGAAATACACACACACACGCATACACACGGGCGCGCGCACACACACGCGCACACACACACACACACACACACACACACACAGCGCGGGCTGCCAAAGTCGGGCGAATTCTAAAGGAACCCATATTAGGCTAACAAAAAGGAGGTAGGATATGGAGGGGCGGGGAGAAGGAGTAGGACAGAATGGAGGGGGGAGGGGAAGGGAGAGAGGGAGAGAGAGAGAAAGAGAGATGCGCTATCAAAACAGAAAAATATAATAAAGACTAAGAGAACAGAGGAAAAGCAAGACGCCGACTAGCTAGTTGCAGAAAGAATGATGAGAAAGTCCAGGGACCCTTGTATCTGAGATGAGGAGAATGGAGTGGAACTGTGGGCATCTTCTTACCAATAGCTCCCAAGGCCTGGTGGATGGCCTCCATCTCAGGTACACTCAGCAGGGCCAGGAGGCCTGGCCACAGCCTCCTCCAGCCTCAGATGCAGAAGGACTGGGCCACTCCAGGCCCAAGCCCTAGACAAGGATGAGGAGAATCTCAGCCATGGTCAGGGCTCACCCAGGGCTAGAGCAGTGCTGTTGGCCGCCTGGAATCTACTTCACCAAACAGGGTAGCCAGGGCCACTCTGGGACACGTGTGGGTCTTTCCCTCTCTGAATAAAACCCCAGACTTTCCCTCACAAGTGGAGGGACTGGACTGCACCTTTCCTTTGATGTCAACAAGATCCCCCTTTTGTCCTCAGGGGACTATACAGACTGCACCTTCCCAGAAACTGGAGCAGGAGTTTGGCCCTGAGGATGAGCGCCCAGGAGTGAATGCAGCCTGTTTGTGCTGGTCCAGCAGCCTGAGTTGTGGAACTGCTTGGGGGTACCTCCGGGACCAGACGGGGCTTGCAGGAAGGAAAAGGACCTCAGTCCCTGCCCTGGGTGGTTGAAATCCCAACAAGCTATTCAGATCAAAGCTGAATTCAGGCTCAGACACGGCCTCCTCACCTGCTCCAACTTGGAGATGTGGAGCCTGGAGAAGGCTCAGGCCCCCAAAAGCTGACCCAGCGGGTATTGTCCCACCCCTCACCCTCTGGCCCAGCAGTTCCTCTTTAAAGTTCAAGTTCTGGACTGAGCTTGAGTTCAGACCCAGGAACGCCCCTTCCTGGAGCTGGAGTGAAAGTCTTGGGGAAGGAGTGAACTTGGCGAAGGGTCCCCGGCAGCTCTCCCAAGGAAAGAGGGAAGAAGGAGGGAAGAAGTGGAGAGAGGGGGAAGGGAGGGGGAGGGATTCCCTGCCTTTTTTGATTAAACGTCCCAGGTCGGGCCTGCCCAGTTAACGAGACCGTTAATTAAGCCGTGCACAATTCAACTGTCAGGAAGGCCCTGCGCCCCGCAGAGAGGTTCTGGAAATCAAGCCGTCCACGGTGGTGCGCGAGTCCAGGGTTCCATGCAGGCGGGCACCCGCTTCCATCTGGAGACCCGAACCCTCACCCACTCCGCCCTCGCCATCCCTTCAGCGACACCTAGACCTGAACCCACGCCCAGACCCAGGCATCACAGCCCTGGGCCATGCACTCCGGTCTGCTTGGGTGCACAGGATCTCAGAGTCCTCCAGCAAAACCCAACTCCCGAGGACAGAGATTGGGGACCCAGTCTGTCGCCTCCGCTCGCCGGATCCCGCCAGAGCGCCAAACCAGCCACCAGCGGCTCGGGCCTGCAGGCGGCGGGCGCAGGCTCCACGCCCACTCCTACTCCGGGGCAGATTCCCGCCGGCGGCGGGCCGTGCGCTGCGGCGCGGCGGGACGCTGAGTGTGTGTGCGCGGCGCGGCCTATATTTACACCCCAAACAAAATAATTACACTTTTGTCGGAGGGAGAAAGCCAGTGATTAGGCGCGGGCTCTTTGCGGCAAAACAGTTTCTCAGTGGTACACCAGTATAATTTTTCACGGCTGGCTGAAATCAAAGAGGGGAGGTAATGAATCCGGCGAGCAATTTAAATTTACAATTTGTAACGCCGCCGCCGCCGCGCAGACCCGGCCGAGAGCGCAGCTCCCAGGCGCTCGCTGCGTTTGTTTAATGTTAAACCGCGCCGGCTCTTGGGGTGGGGGGGGGAGTTCGTGTGCGAGTTGGGGGTGGGGAGGCGGTAACGATCGAAGTCTCGAGAGGACCCGCTGCTTCGCCCGAGATACCGAGGGGAGAAGGGAGCGAGGGGCGCGCCCCCTAGATCCCCCCTCCCAGCCACCGCGGCCCCCAGCGCGCGCGATCTTCAAAAAAAGCAGGCCACTCGCGGCTATTCAAAGGGAGGGAGTGCCCTTAAGAGGGACCAGGAGAACCACTAGCCGCCAGTGAAGCCCTGGTCCCCGTTTCTGCAGAATCCCCCAGGCCGGCGACTCCCCGATCAGGAGTACAAGGCGTGCAACTGAAATGTCCTCCTCTTCCACCTGCGGAAAAGGCGGCTCGGAACGGCCGGAGGAACCTCCTTCCGGCCACTGCCCCGAGTCCCTGGCTGGAGGAGTCCAGGAAGGTACCCGATGCCCCACCTCAGCTGCCTTAAAACTCTCACTTGGGGCGGATGTGCAGCCTCCTCGCCCGTAATTAATTACCGAACTCAAGGGGGAATATGCAAACCGCAGATTACTAACTCTACAGGGCTTAAGTGATTGGAAACAGATTATTATCTTGTTTGTCTTTTGTCTGTTTTACTTATCCCGCCGCCGTCTGTCGAGTTGTAATGTTGATACTCTTTACTCTAGGAGGAAGATTTTTATATAGTAAATTCCATCAACATCTTGTATAAGTGACATTGCGTCTCCATGCATTACCCTGTTAAGACACAAGCGGTTTATTAGTTACATATAGGAGGGGATTTCACTGCCTGGTCGCCATCTGTTAACGCTGCTGGGGCGGGATAATGCCTCTAATCGTTGGTCTGCCGGCGTTTGGGGATGCTGTGGACCGGGGAAGGTGATGGACTGGTGAAAGCAACACAGGCTTCCAGGCATGGAGGGGCAGCGAGGGCGGGCAGAGCCGTTCCTGGAACTGAAGTTGGGCTGTGTGGAGGGCGAACCCCTAGAGGTGGGCAGTGCTGCGACCTGAGCAGATTCTGCTGTAAGAGCTGAAAGATCAGACCAGGGCTTCTGGAAATAGAACCCTCTTCTGCAACCAGGGATTTAGCACAGGGTGACCCACCCCTATCCAGGCTCAGGGAGACCGGGGGCAGCTGCTGCTCTCTGCTAGCCGTCCCTATCTTGCGACCTACCTGGCCTGCCATTGCGCAGTGGCTAAGGCCTGGCTGTGCATTGGAGAAGAGGGAGGGAGGATTTGTCAGAAAGAGTCAGAAAGAGCTAAGGGACACAGGCTGAGCGTGGACCCAGCGGGGCTGGGGAGGCACACCGATCTGGGTCCTTGAATTTTTGGTGAGGTCTCCATGGAGTGTGAACTCGGGTGCCTAGTCTGGAGCAGAAGAGGCTCCCGGGTAGAGAATTCGATCACCGTAGAGGGTATGAGTGGGGGTGTGAGACTTCTTCCCACACCCCCAAATCTGTACGGGGTGCACAATGAGAAAAGTCACTCGCAGCATTAGCCAGACGCTGGACTCAGAAAGCAGCCCCGGCAGAGAGGAGCTGAGGGAGACAAAAAGAGAAAGGAGGAAATAGAGGGAAAGGGGAGGGAGAAACCGGTAAGGGAGACAGAACAGGCTCCGGGCCTGAGATCGAGCCAGAGCCTGGAACAGAGAGGTGAGAGCTGGAGCCTCGCTCGCTGGATGAGACAAAGACGGAGAAGGCAGCAGGCGGCCGCACACTTCCCAGGAGCTGGGGCCTCTCCCGTCCTCTCTGGGTTCTTTTTTTTTTTTCCATCTATGCCCTGCCAGAGCTCAAGGACCATTCATGCCCCAGGCGGGCAGAGCCAGGTGCTACCAGAAACTGCAGTTTCCTTTGAGGCTCTCAGAGCCTCTCTCAGCTGGGCCTAGGAGGCCAAGTGAGAGCAACTCTTCCTGAGCCAGAAGCCTCACTACTGTTCTATGTAGTGCCTGTCCCCGGCCAGACAGAGGGTGAGGGGACAGTACTGGCAAGCAGGAGCAGCCCATTTGGACTCCTCTTCCAGAGGCCCAGCTGGTGGGTCAGTGACTCACCAGAGACCAGCACCCAAGGATTCTCTGTCACCAGTGAGACCTTCTCCTCTAGAGACTGTGGGGGGACAACGCTTGACCTGACTAGGAACTAGGGCGAGAGTAAGCATCTTTGTGCTCCAACACAAAAATCTCACTCCTCCCAATCCCTGAAAGGTAAACACCACTAGGAGCACACACAAATACAAACACCCTCCCCGACCTAGAGGAGTCACATAAACAAAAATTTGCTGTCTGAACACACAAACAGGCACTCGCCCGTGAAGGCACCCAGATCTACAAAATTCTGCACTCCAAATGCCCAAGCCAGACCTCAGTCACACACAGGGAGGGTCTAAAACCTGCAGAGTCTCATCTACACACACACACACACACACACACACGCTCAGATTTTTTAGAGTATACTTTCACATCAGTGTTAACACGCACACGTAGAAATAATCTTCCACAAACACACTGACACATACAAACATCCTCACATTCATGCTGCCTCACGTAAGCACACATACACACACACACACAAACACCAAAATGCACACACACACAAACACCAAAATGCACACACACACAAATATTAGGAGGACCATACGCAGTTATAAACATGCATTTTTGCACACACACAGAAAAACACATACCAAAATGCACTCCCCAAATGAACACACCAAAATGAACCGATGAAAATATTGCAATCTCCAAACAGCAAATATACACTAACAAGCTCAGGGAGTCCACCCAAACAAACATTTGATGCCAAGTCTTGGCACAACAGTCTTCTGGGCCCAAGCCCTACCCATCAGCCCTCTTATGAACGCCGCCCTCCCACCAACCCACTCTGAGCAGCCCAGGTGCAGAACAAATATCTGAGACACACAGTCCCATCCTCCCCAGCTTGGAGGCTCCTGAGGGTGGCCCCGATGGCCTTCAAGAGGGAAAAAAAAAAAAAAAAAGCCCTGGTCTCTTCTCATCCCTCTCAAGCCCACACACTCCCCACCCCCCCCCCCAGACCTGCAGGGACACATACAAGCACACTAACAAACAAGCATATTGCCCACAAACTCAGAGTCTTGTGGAGCTAGGAAAGCCCGGGGCTGCTCCTCCCGGGCCCTGTGAAGGGCCAAACTTCACACACAGCCGCCCGCTGGTGGGATGAGTGAGAACAGTGCCCAAGTAACCCCCAGCCTCTCTGCTCCGGTGGGGCCACCCACTCACCTTGGCGCCTGGACCTACTGATCTGGAATCTGGAAGGTGTGGCCGGGAAAGGAGAGATGTGGTGAGGGTCACCTGAGTCTCTGAGTCGCCTGAGTGGAGACCCATCCAGGGTGGACCTCATCGCCCCCCTCTACAACTCTCTGAACTGAGTGACCGCTGCGCTCAGGCCTGAAACTCTGGCGTAGGGGATCAGGCCACACACACACACATACACCGCCCCAACCTGGGTCTGGGCAGAGGCCTGGGCCCTGTGGCCAGGCTGGAAAAGCTCCCCAAGCCGCGTGGCCTCCACTCTTTCCATGAGAAAGGCCCGGCTGGGCCCCAGCTTAGTGTATGACAAAAGAATCCAGAGTCCAGAGAACCGCGTTGTCGCAGCTCCAGGGCTCAGACCCCGGGGGCACCGGAGTGCAGAAGTCCAATGGGGGTGGGGCTGGGCAGGGGAAGGGGAGGCGGACTAGAGCGCGCTCCCGGCCTCGGGCAACTTCTGCAAGTTCCAGGGATGGCAAAACGGGAAGGGAGGCCCCTCCCTGACTAGGCCTTGAAACCCCGGCCCCCAAATATTGGCGAGGAGAGAGGAAGAAAAAGTCCGTGTTCGTGTCGCGCGCCCCGCACCCCTCCCCCAGCCCCAAACTGGAAGGTAAATACTTACTTAGCCTCCGAACCAGGTAGAAGCTAATACTCAACAATACGGATGCCTTGTTTTTTTTGCTCTGTCCGGACCGCAACGCTGTAGCCAATTTAGATATGCTATAAATTTAAGAGGTTGCCATGGCCACGGCGCGCCCATTGGCCGCTGGGCCCCCTACGTGCCGCGCCACGTCACCAAATCTGAATAAGGATGCGCGAATTAGGCGGCGGCCAGACAAAGATGAGGATCGGGACCGCTTGAAAGTGGGGGAAAGTGCCGGCGCCTTCGCCACCGGGGAAAGCCGCCCGGCAGTGCCGAGGCCAGCAGCCACCGGAGACACCTGGGGGAGCCCGGAACAGGCGCCGGGGCGCGCGCAACTGGGGCATGAGGTTGTGAACGCTACCCCCCACCAACCCACTCTGGGCAGCCCAGAGCCAGGCCAGAGATCGTCCAAGGACTTGACTGGCTGAGTCTAGGTCCGGACCGGACTCGCCGGGAGGCGGCGGCGACAAGAGGCGGAGAACAGTCGCGGGGCCCCGAGGCCCAAGGGCCAGCGGCCCCTAGGGACGGCGAGGCGGCCGGAGCCGCCAGGGCTCGGGGCTATGATGGTGCACTGTGCCGGTTGCGAGCGGCCCATCCTCGACCGCTTTCTGCTGAACGTGCTGGACCGCGCGTGGCACATCAAATGTGTTCAGTGCTGCGAGTGCAAAACCAACCTCTCGGAGAAGTGCTTCTCGCGCGAGGGCAAGCTCTACTGCAAAAATGACTTCTTCAGGTAAGAGCCCGCCCTGCCCGCGCTCCACCAGGGCGCAGGGTAAGGGGGACCAGGTTGCCCATCCCAGCCTCCCGGGCTCACGAGCGTAGCTAGGAGCAAAGGCCCTCTGCTCACTGTCCTCGGTCCCGGAAAGGGCCGAGCCCAGGCGGAGGAAGAAGGACGCGGCCAGCTGCCCGGCCTGCCCTGCCCCTCCAGGGGGTCGGTGCAGAGGGCAGGGGAGGAAGCCCTGACAAACTTGCTCTCCATCCGTCCCTTTCCCCTGCCCAACGCTGCAAGCCCAGGACACACGCGTCAAGCCCCATTCAAGGGAGAACGGTTCTCCCCAGAGTTAGGGGCCGCTGGAGGCTTCTCCCTTAAGCAGAATGCAGAAGACAGGGTGCCCTCCTGGACACTGAGAAACTTCCCCGCTCCACGGGAAGGTCGGGAAGGTCGGCCCTGGCTACAGGCAGAAGGAATTTGCCCTTCCATTCCCCAACCCCTTAAACATTGCCTCCCATGTTGAACAGCACCAACGAAATGGAGGCTGGGAACCGGTATCTTGGAGGTCTAGCCGGGGCTGTGGCACCTACCTCCCGATCTGTTTGGGGCCCACAGGCCAGGACGGCTCACTTCTCTGGGCCTCAGTTTCCCCAGTTGGGAAAGCTGAGGGGCAGCCTAGAATCCTGCAGGGCTGGGTTTTGGGCTGCTTAGCCTGCCTGCTCCTACTGGGCATCAGAGCCAGCTTTGTGAGTGCAAATTCCAGGCGCTGAGGGAAGGGGGGGGGAGTGTGATTAGCACCACAGAGAAAGGCAGCCTGCCGGCCCCAGCACCCAGCACCAGGGAATTTGAATAGGAGAAAATGTCAGCCGCGCCTTTACACGTGTAAACTCCCCGGCCCCAGGCCCGCGCTGCTAATGTGGCGGTGCTTGCAAAGCGCCTAATGATTTTTGATAAGGTGCATATGGCCAATTACGCTGCCGGATAAGGCCAAAAGTGACTTATGGCTTCTAATGCCCTCACTACATCAATGTCACCCAAATTCACCCTGTTTAGAGACATGGGTGTGAGTGTATGTGGGGTCCCCAGAGTCCTGAGCCCTCCCCCACACACACACCCTGCACCTCACCCCTCCCATTGGGAGCTTACACTACCCGTCCTGGGGGAGGCCTCTTTCTTCCTGAGTGCAAAGCCAGGGAGAAAAGGAATTAGCTCTGGAAGTAGGGAAAGAGGGAATCCATGTCCTGGCCTGCAGCATTCTGGAAGGCTTTCTGGTCACATTCTCCTGCTCCCCGCCAGGGCCAGAGGTGGGGGTGGGGCTGAAACTCAGTCCCTACCCCGATTAGGCCCTGCTGTCCACAGCTCCCAGCTAGATCCAGCTGATTCCATGGTTCGAAATGGAAAGGCTCCCAGTTTGTGCTGGGAATTAGCAGAAGATTCCCTCCTTCTTGCTCAAGTCTAGCCCTGGAAAGGGGCTCCCCACCCCCACTGCTAGGGCCAGCTGGCCAGGCAGATTGGCCCTACCTGGGCCTCAGAAGACTAGAAAGGATCCAGGAGGCAAAGCAAAGATGTGATCCCAACCCAGCCTGCCAGACCTCGAGAGCATGGACTCCCCCCGGGGCAACCCAAACAGATCCAGCTGGGATGTGGGGGACAAGAAGGCATCTTGGGATGCTCTGAGCTGTGACTTGGTTTCAGGCTGCACCCACCGCTCCCTGCTTCACAGCCCAGTCGAGTCTGAATCAACTCCCTAGAGACAGGACAGTCCCCATCCCCAAAACAGCCCAGGCCATTTGTCTCACTTCTCCTGTTCTAGACAGGGAGGACAGAATTAGGGTTCTGTTGCACAGAGGTGGAAATAGAGGCCTTTGGAAAGCCGTGGCAATGGGTAGGAATCAGGGGGACTGGACACTAGGCCCACCTCAATGTGACTGACACCTTGTGTCCCACAGGCGTTTCGGCACAAAGTGTGCAGGATGCGCACAGGGCATCTCCCCCAGCGACCTGGTGCGCAAAGCCCGGAGCAAAGTCTTCCACCTCAACTGCTTCACCTGCATGGTGTGCAACAAGCAGCTGTCCACGGGTGAAGAGCTCTACGTCATCGATGAGAACAAGTTTGTGTGCAAAGATGACTACCTGAGCTCCTCCAGCCTCAAGGAGGGCAGCCTCAACTCGGGTATGGAGGCCTCTGCCTTTTCCTGGCCGGTGGCCCTAGCACACTCCTGGGTCTGGTGCACTCTGCCTCCCCCGGATCCCGAGCCTGTGCTGGGCTCAGAGCTCATCATCCTAACTCACCGGCTGAGCCGTTCTAGGGTCGGGAGAGGGTTATTAAAGACCCGGGAAGACAGGACATTCTGAGCCTGTCCTGCAGGGAAGCTGGGTGCAACCTCCTCCAATTCGGGAGCCTTTTCCAAGTTCTCCTCCCTCAAATTTGAAATTGCACAATTCACTCTCTGTCATTTGGGATCCTGGCAATTTCTAGATGCATTGGGAGGACATTCTCTGGGATTTGGAGGAAGGGCGGAAAGGAAAGGAAGTGGAAGGGGGGCTGCACACTGCTCTGTCCCCTCTCCAAGAAGGTGGGTTTTCTAGAGAGCGTGCCCTCTGTACCCGGACCCCAGCTGAGATGGGCTGAGATTGAGAAGGGCGGTTTCCAAGGCCCAGCCCCGCCTGGAGAGAGTGGGCGGGCGCCGGGTCCCGGGGGGAGGGGCTGTCGCAGGTTCGGGAGGGAACCCCGCGCCGGCCGGTGGTAGCCTGGTCCGGATGGAACCGGCCGCTGACGACTGCTGTCCCCCTTCCCAATCCATCCGCCCGCAGTGTCATCCTGTACGGACCGCAGTTTGTCCCCGGACCTCCAGGACCCCCTGCAGGACGACCCCAAGGAGACGGACAACTCGACCTCGTCGGACAAAGAGACGGCCAACAACGAGAACGAGGAGCAGAACTCGGGCACCAAGCGGCGCGGCCCGCGCACCACCATCAAAGCCAAACAGCTGGAGACGCTCAAGGCCGCCTTCGCCGCCACGCCCAAGCCCACACGCCACATCCGCGAGCAGCTGGCTCAGGAGACTGGCCTCAACATGCGTGTCATCCAGGTGCGGCCGGGGTCGGGTCTCTCCTCTCCATCGGTACTGGGGCGCGGGGCCCGGAGTCTCTTCGAAAGAAGCCTCCACCCAGCCTCCTCGTCTAAGAAACGTGCAGGGTTCTGATCTAGGGACAGACAGTGCACCCGAGGTCGGGGACAGCTGGGCACCGCCCGAGGTGGGGAACTTGGAGCCAAAAGAGTCAGTCCCTCCCCGCTGTCCTCCTGAAGATGTCACAGTGGACCTGGCCACTTTGCCTCTCTGAATTCCGCTCCCCACCCTGTTCAGCGAAGGTTTTAAGCCTCTTTGGGGTCCAGGACCCCCCTCCTTCCCTCCCACCCTCCCATCTTCCCAGCGAAGAAAAGCTATGCCCGGCCCCAACCGATGCGCTGGCAGACAGACAAACGGCCAGAGCCCGGCTGGCTCCGGAGCCGAGGCGAGAGCTTGCCGGGCGGGAGGCCTTTATAAAGCCGTCAGGCCGCGGGCGAGCGGAGGACCGGGAAGCCCAAGTCTTTATGAGTCGCCCCACGGGTCCGCGAAATCCTTCACCCTTGGCTGGTTCACCGAGGCCCTTCTCCACCCCTACCGGCCTAATCCGGCCGGGCCCCCGCCTCAAGGGAGTCCTGGCGCGCAAAAGGCGCTGGGCTCCAGCAGGGGCAGCCCGGGCAGGGGGAGGAGCGAGGGCACCCCTGACCCCAAGCTCACAGCCCCAAATTCCTTCCTAGGTGTGGTTTCAGAACCGACGGTCCAAAGAACGCCGGATGAAACAGCTGAGCGCGCTGGGCGCCCGGAGACACGCCTTCTTCCGGAGTCCACGGCGCATGCGTCCGCTGGGGGGCCGCTTGGACGAGTCCGAGATGTTGGGGTCCACCCCGTACACCTACTATGGAGGTAAGGGGCGCGCGGGGAAGTACGGCTCCACCCCCAGCGGCACTGTTGGGCACCTGGGTACACCCCTCGCTTTCTCTCCTTGACACACGATCAAGGACACCCCTGGACAGACAGACATCAACTCCGGGCACCCTTATCCACAGATACCTCCTGGACAAAAGCAGGCACAGTGATATACAAATAACCACACGGGAGAGCGTGACACTTGTCCTCACCTACCACCCCAGGACACGTGGGCCCGCGCGCTTGCTTTCATTCAGAGACTTCAGGGATGTGGTAGTAGAGGGAGGGTTGCACAGAACCCCGCACAACAGGTACACTCAACTCCCCACACACTGTCACCCAGACACACCCAGAAAGAGACCCAGAGACCCCCATACTCCCCGGGCCTCAGTATAATGCGGTCAGTGGCAAATCCACAAGAACTTGCGCCCCGGGAACACACAGCCCTCCGGCCGTCCTTGCCCAGGTGCCTGGTGTACTTGGCAGTAGCTGGAACCCTGCTTGAGATAGTGCTCAGAGTCCCTCCGGGGTCCTCCCGGCTTGCAGTGCAGTAGTTCCTGTTTTGCTGGGGAAGGGGACCATGGCCCGTGAGTCTGGCCCTGTTAGCCCACAAGCCAGCAGTTGCTCTGCGCCCTCCTTCCAGTCCCAGACAGGCAGGGATTCATCTGGATTGGGGGCCGCTTGATGTCCACTTTCCCATCTTTGGGTCTGGAGAGATTGAGACCCCAATTGCCAAGGGAAAATTCCAAAATTCAGCATTACCAGTCTCAGCCTGGGGTGGGCGCCCCACTTGATCTCGCCCTTTCTTCTCCTCCCCTCCTCCTCTCCCCCACCTCCTTCCCCTCACAAGAGCTTGCTGACCCATCCCAACTGCCCACTCCCACCTCATCTCCCACACACTGAGTCCTTTGCTCCGGGGACTAGCAGCACTGTTAGGGGGGGGTGGGGGTAGAGAAAACTCCTTCTTCTCCTTATTCATGAGCCTCTGAGCTCACGGAGCTAGGGGAGCGCCTAACCTGAGAGCCTGCACACCTCTGCAGGACTCTGCTACGGGCCTGCTCTGGGATAATAACCCAGTTTGAGAACGGCAACTGCCCTTTAAAAAGTAGATCCAGGGACAAAGCAGGGAAGGGAGGGAAGGCAGGAGCCAGGCCTCCAGGAGGGAGGTAAGAGAACCCGGTGACCAGCCTCCGGGCACGTATTAGGGAGCCTCCGCTGCCCAGCCTTGGACAGTCCAGATTGTGGGTGTGTTCTCCGGGGTCTCCACTCACCAACTCGTTGCACCTGCACAAAACCTCGGGCGGGAGCGGGGAGGTGCGGGGGGCGGTACTGACCCGGAATTTTTCCCCGCCTGAGTAATTAACCAAAGTTTTCCGGAGAACCGGGGCGTCCCGCACCAATCCCGCCGCCTCCTCTCCCTGCGCGCCTGCTGGGGGTGGGGGGCAGGACACCGGGGCCCCTCTTATCCCGGAATGAAGCGGGGGACAGAGCTCCCCAGCCCCCAGCGAGGCAGCCCCGCCTAATCCGCGCTGGGAGATCCCGGCGGTGGCGGCCGGCAGCGGGCGAGAAAGGGGCCGGGCGGCGGGGCCGGCGGCTCCCCGTGGGAGCGCGGACAAAGCCCCAGCTGCGGCTTTTGTGCCCTTTTCAGACGGCGTTTGTTCCAATTACCTCCGGCCCGGCCGCCATATGGGCGGAGGCGGCGCGCACCGCGCGGGGGCCGCGGCCTTCGCTGGTTTGCCTGCTCGCTGCGGGCCGCGGTCGTCCCCATCCCCGTCCGTTTAGGGCCGAAATTCGCTTTTCTGAACCTTTCCCTTCACTTGAAATGGAATTTGTAGTTAAAAAAAAAAAAAAGTAACCGGCGAGGATTTTAGCCATAGCCTAAGCTGTCTCCAGGGCGCGCCTCCAGACACCACCCCCCATTTTGGACAGATTTCAGGGTTTGGAGAAGAAAGGGGGCGGCGGGCGGTGGTGAGGGGGGAGGGCGTCCGAAACTTGGCCTGTGACCGAGACTCCAGGACTGAGTAGGAGGAGTGGGTTTGCAGAAGAGACCCTGGCTTATGGACAAGCTGGTTTTCCCACCGTACAAAGCGGGTTGTTGACATTAGAGCAGGCTACAAAGTGTTCCTTTCAAAAGGGAGCCATACCCTAATACTTGAGGGGCCCAAGTGGGGAGGGAAGCATGCTGTCCCCAAAGACCTGGAGGAGAGGCTGTGGAAGGAGGCCCAAGGGTTGATGCAGAAACAATTTGTTTTTGGAGGATGACCTGTGGCCTGGAGTCCTGGAACCCCTGGATGTGTCAGGGAAATCCGCATCTGTTCATTTTTTTTTTTTCTTGCAAGAGAGCAGGTAGATCTCATTAGCTTCTGCAAAGGATTAAACCTTCACAAATGGTTGGGAACCTGGTGCCCTGGCCTGTACACCCAGGGTGAAATTGGAGAACCAAGCCACCACCCCAGGTGCTTTCCAATGTTCTCCCTTTGCAGAGTGGCCAGGGCTCAGTTTCTCTGTTCCAGGCTAGCAAAGCGGTTCAAACAGAGCCCGCTTTCTCCCGCCTCCACCAGGAGGGTCGCAGGGGCTGTGTTTGGCAGGACTGGTTGGCCCGGGGAAAGACCGGACCAGGTCGGTGGGGCTCAGGGGCGGAAGAGCAGGGGCCTGCCCGCTCTGCGTCCAGGTTATGCTCTGGGAGCTCAACTGGACAACCCCTCTGTGGTCCCGCCGCCCGAGTTGGCGCAATGCTCTGCTCCTGCCGGTTCATTTATTACCACCTGGCTCCTTCCCTGCCTCGGCGTCTCCAGCGGTTTCTTGGGCTCATCTCGCTGGCCCACTGTCTCACCCTCTCTGGACGCATCTGCCTCTTCATCTTGCGTCTTGCTCCTAAGCCTTTCGCTGTCCACTCTCGGTTTTCTGGTGTATCTCTAGCCGGGACTCTTACTCGATCTCCGATCCCTATCCGGCCCTTGCATCGCTGTCCCGATCCTCGACATCTCTGGGTCTCCAAGTCTGGTGACTCCCTGCTGCTGTGCCTTTTGCGCTTTCCACTCGCCTCGGCCTTCCCGGCTGCCTCTGCCTGTGCCCCTCCCCGACTCTAAGACCCTGGAATCCTTAGCTGTCTCTGCGTCTCTGACCACCGCTGTCCCCTCGTCTCTGGGACTTAAAGATTTGCCGCGTTCCGGGGTCTGTCTCCCTGGGTCGCTGCGCCTCTCTTGCCGCTGTCCCGCGCAGTCTCGAGTATTTCTCATTATCTTTCCCCCCAGCCTTACCCGAGGGTCTGCTGCGTCCTCCCCCATCTCCACGGGCCGGGCCTCATTCTCCCTCAGTCTCTGCAGACCAGCCTTGGGTCTCTGACTTCAAGTTTTTGTCGCGCTGTCCCCCCACTAACGCCCCCTCTCGCGTCTGTAAGGTCTTTTGCTCCGGTGACCACGTCGATGCGTCCCAGGCAGGCCTTGGTCTCAGGGGGCCTCCTCCCCGGGATCCCGCGGGCCCCTCCGGGACGTGGCGGTATCTCATTGCTGCCTCTCCCCTCCCGCTTCCCTCCCGCAGACTACCAAGGCGACTACTACGCGCCGGGAAGCAACTACGACTTCTTCGCGCACGGCCCGCCGTCGCAGGCGCAGTCCCCGGCCGACTCCAGCTTCCTGGCTGCCTCGGGGCCCGGCTCGACGCCGCTGGGCGCACTGGAGCCGCCGCTCGCCGGCCCGCACGCCGCCGACAACCCCAGGTTCACCGACATGATCTCGCACCCGGACACGCCGAGCCCCGAGCCGGGGCTGCCCGGCGCGCTGCACCCCATGCCCGGCGAGGTGTTCAGCGGCGGGCCCAGCCCGCCCTTCCCCATGAGCGGCACCAGCGGCTACAGCGGACCCCTGTCGCATCCTAACCCCGAGCTCAATGAGGCCGCCGTGTGGTAAGGCCGCGGCCGGGCCGCCCTGCGCACGGCCCCCGGGGCGCAGCCCGGACGCAGCCTCCGAAACCAAAACGCCCGACGCGGACGCGGCCCGGATCTCCCTCAGGGGTTCTCTCTCGGGTCCGCACTCAACTGGAAGCTGCTCCTCGGCTGGGCGCCGAGGGGGGCCGACCCCCATCTGCACCCCGGGGGCTCTCCAGCTTCAGCCAGCCGCCCGCCAGCGCTCTCCAGGCAGCCGTGAGCAATTTCTTGGGACCAAAGTCGATATTCTGGAGGGTCAAGAGATTCCAAGCACGCTCTGGATCCCGGCCCCCACCCTCCCACCAGCTCTTTGGACGGAGAGGGGGTGAGGCCAGGGGTGGAGACGGAGGGTTTTTTTCCCCCTCCCTCTCTCTCTGCAATCCGAGTGGCATTTTGTAATCTCATTTCTCGCTCTGCTTTCTCCATCTTTAAAATTTTTTTTGATAAGAAAAAGGAGAGATTGAAAGGGAGAGAGAGAGAGAGATGAGGAAAGCGTCAGGCAGAGAGAGAAGATGGAGAGGGCGATCCAGAGAGGCACACACTCCATCAGGGGGACCCGTGGAGACAGAGCCACCTGCAGGCTGGCGCCCCCTGGTGGCCAATACGAAGGCTCAAGGTCAGCTCTTCCAGGATGTGGGGCTGTCGGGATGTGGCCAGCGGGGCCAGCTCCCTGCCCTTCCTTACTTTGACATTAATTTTGAGCCTGGGGGTCCAGGTTGGACTCGAACACCGCCCACTTCTGCCCCTGGGCGAGGCACCAAGTTGCTGGGCTCTGGCCCGCAGACCACCCTCCCTGCCCCGGGGCCTGGAGTTGGGCCGTCAGGATGTATAATATTATACTTTTTTGGAAGTCGAACGCTTCTAGTTTCCTTATTTTGTATAAAGAAGAAACAAATAAAGTATGTTTTTGTGTTTACTGTTTATTTATTGTACTCTAGTTATCTGGGGGCTGGACATTTTTATATTTTTAAGAGGGAGGGTGGGCAGAGTGGGGAGGGGAGGCAGAAAGAGGTTTACCTAAAAAAAAAAAAAAAAAAACACAAAAAAATCAACGTTTTTTAAGAAAGATTAATAAAAAAAAAATTCTTTTTTCCCTCCGCACTGTGTGGCTTTCTTTTGTCTCTGATTTCTCCTTCCTTGGGTTGCGCTTACCTTGACAGAGTGAATGAGGCCCTGGTTCTTTCCTGCCTGAACAGATTCAGTGGGTACAAAGGCCTCTCCTCATCAAAGGGGCAGTTGCGGGGTGCCTACTGGGTGGGTGAAAGTGGCAGCCAGTTTTTGATGGTTGCTACAGCCAGGCTGGGTCTCCCCAGCTTGAAGTAAGGCCCAGGGTGACCACAAGCCGGCTCAGGCACAGAGTGGACCTGTGTGTGCATCGGCAGAAGACCTGCTGTGTGAATGCATGTGTGATGGGTGTTTTTCCGACACGTGGAAAGGACTCTAGCTTCACTCCTGTGCCTGTTCCCTTACTTTGGCCCAAAACAAAACAAAACAGAAAAACGGAGGAGGGAAGAAAAGGGAGCAGTCCCCAGGAGCCCGAGGGCTTTATCTGCAAGGCTGTGTGAGGACCCAGGGACCCAAGGGGAACAGGGCTGGGGCGCTCCCCAGTCCTGGGTACATCTTATGTCCTTGGGGGAAAGCAGGGCAGAAAGAGGGCTGTGGGAGATTTAGGGGGCCCAAGGCCACTGCCCCCAAACAAGCCCTTCCAACCCTCTTTGCTCACTTTCCTGACTTTCGAAAGTGGGGTTTGGAGGGACAGCTGCTTACACCCCCTTTCCACTCAGGCACTAGAGGGTTAGGAAAACAGGTGAACTAGATAAACATAGGTGCCTAGCGTCCCTCGTCACCCTCACTTGGGGTGCTGGGAGCTAGCCCAGGTTAGCAGCCAGGAGCCCCGGTCCCCTGTCCCTTATAGCACATTTGTCCTCACCACACAGGTGCTGCTTGCTCACTGCGGAAATTGTAGAAATTTCAGACGCACAAAAAGAAGAAAATGGCGTCGTCCAGCGTGTGGAGCCCTGCGGTCCTGGGGTGGATGCGATTCCTCTCTGGCTTTTTTTTTTTTTTTCCCCTCATTTTGAAACTAGAAATGGTGCCCTGAGGGCGCCCTGGGTCACTTGCTCTGGCTCACCCAGCAACATCGTCCAGGTTCATGAACTGATCATAATCAGAGTTACATTATCCCCTGTGATGGCTTAAAAATCCCTTGAATGGGTGAGCTGCGTGTGCGTGTGTGTGTGTGCGTGTGTGTGTGTGCACGCAGGTGTGCGTGTGTGTCTAGATAATTCTGTTGTGGAGACGTTTGGGTTAGCTTCCGGTGCCCACCACTTCCACCCTGTTGGAATGAGAACTCCGGTGGCTGGCTGTTTGGACTTGTATCAGGGAAGGTATTATTTGTCCCATCAGGATGCTCGCAGAGGTCAAGGGACTTGCCCACGGTCACACAGCTGGGGAGTGACAGAGCAGAGATTCCAGTCCCAGCACTGGGGTGGGCTTCTCTTCCTCCGCGGTGCCCCAGGGGGAATGGATTCTAGAGGCCAGAGGAAAATTTGCAAGGTGGACCCCGTCCCTGCTGGGCTCCTGGTGACTCCTGCGCACATGTGGATTTTGCAGAGGGGGCTGTGTCACCAGAGACAGGGAAAGCTGGGAAAAAGAGGACCTGCCCCCCCTGCTCCTCCAGGAACAGGCTGTGACAGGGTGACAGAGGCAGGGAAGGGGGGAGGGGGAGGAAGATGGAGGAGGGCTAGGCAGAGAGGGGGAGAGGGAAAGGGAGGGAGGGAGGATGCCTGCTCCAGGAGGAACACCCGTCAGGGGTGCCACTGCTACTGCCCAGGCCCCATGGTGTCCTGTCACCCAGCCACCTGCCTGAAAGAGATACCTGTGCCCGGAGGCGTCAGCGAGCTCATCAATGTGGCAGCAGACTCTGCCACCCCCTTCAGGTGCCCCCCCACCCACACACACCAGAGACACGTGTGGGCACGCGCAAGCTCATGAGCCCATGCAAACACACGTGTACAACAGAAACCACCTGCAGACGGCATTACCAGGCACATGGACACCCCTCTCAATCCTCTGCATATGCAGACACACATGGATACAGGCAGGTGCGTGGCAGGCACCCGCGGTGACCCATGTGTGCACAGAACAGTGTGTGAACACACACCCGCGGGCCTGTATACATGTGTGCACACCTATCCCCCACAACCCCCCCGACACAAAACCCACACCCCTGTCCCTACCCAGGTGGGCCCACGTCACACAGCACATTCCTGCCGTTCAGATGCTTGTGACTTCAGTGTGGGAGGAAGAGCCAGGATGGGGAGAAGCCTCGTTGAATCAGGAGATCCTTAGATAACCTGGGGGTCCCCATCAAGGTCTCTGGGGAGGGCTCTAGAATCCAGATTCAGCACCCACCGCCGTCTTCTTAATATGACAGGAGGGGGTGTTTCATAAAATGGCGTATACGACAAGGCCCACCCCACCGAGGCGGCTTGGCCTAGGTGGAGCTTCCCCCAACCAGCCCTACAGGATTCTGCTTGATGAGAGTCCCCCTTAAACCTCATGACCCTCTTCTGAAAGAGTGTCGTTATCCCCACTTCACAGAAGAAGAGCCTGAGGTCCAAGGGGTAAAGTGAGCTGTGGATGGGGCCGGACCGGATTTTGAATCCAGGCTTTTCTGCTTTGAGAATCTGTGCTGCCCCTGGGTGCGGGACAGAGCCCTGCACAGATGTCTAATGACACAAACCCGCGGATGGGAAGACGCCTGGGTGAGTGAGTGAATGAAGGAGCGAACGAGGGAAGGCGGTCACCAGGGAGGGGGGCCTTCTAGAGAGGACCTGGCCAAGGCTGGTTCTTCCTCAAGCACCTCCACTGGATTTTTAAAAAAGCCCCCTCCACGTTTGAACAGCAGCTGGCCCAAAGGGCAAAGGGCGTAGGCAGATTGCCAAGGTCAAAGACCCCAGGACCCGGCCTCTCCAGGCTGCCCTTGTTCTCCCCCTGCCCCGATGTCCTTGTCCCTCTCCTTCTCTATTAATGTATCCGTTCATCTTCTATCTCCCCATCTCTGGACCCATTATCATTTAAAAATAAAAGGCTTCCAAGAAGGTGGGGGAAAAAACCACAGTAAGGGGTGGAGGTGGGATTTCCTCCAAGCTCTGGAAAAAGGGGCTGTCACCTGTCCCCACCACCCCTGATTCAGGCCAACCCCACCTCTCCCAACCCCCTCACTGCCGTCCCTGTCCCTCTTCTGCTGCCCCCAAATAAATGCCCCGCGGAGCACGAGGGCCGGCCCCCCGCGCTCAGGACTAATATTTAAAATGCAGAATGGCTGCGGAGGGCCCTGCTCCCAAGTCCTGTAGTGCAGTAAAAAGATATAAACAGAATAAATTACCTCTCCCGCTCAGATCCCGAGAATGCCCATCTCCTGACTGGAATTTTAAGTCCTGCCTCCCCGGTCGCGCGGCACGCGGCTGATTTATGGAAACCCCAGCGCTTCTCTGCATATTTCTCTGTTCAGCCGAGTGACCAAGTTTACCCTTCCTATGCCATTAGCGTTATTAACACCTGGGCAACCGATCATTGCAAATGCGCCATTTCGATGATGAACAGAGACCTCTCCAGCCGCTCCTCCAGGGCCACGCCACCCCTGGGCTCTGCCTGCTGGTTTCCATGCCAGGGCTCAGGACCATCCCCACCTGCCCGCCATGCCCACCCCCCGTCACCTGCTGATGGGTTCCCAGGGACTCTAGGAGGACACCCCTCACCCTAGCAGGTGGCTAGCTTTCTGGCAAATTACAGAAGCCACGACCCAGCCCCTGGATGTGGTTTCTAACTCTTCAGAGAATGTTCTAGAAGGGGACAATCAGTGTCCCCCTCCTCATTAATCAGAGAAAGAAGCAGAGGCTCAGAGAGGGCAAGAGAGCGGCCTGAAGCCCCAGAGTTCACAGTGGACGTGGGAGCAGAATTCAACTCTGCTCGCCCCTGGCCACCCAAAGTTCCGTCTCAGGACCGCCAACAGCAGCAGCAGCAGCAGCACCTGGAAGTGGTGGCCCCCAGGTATCCATGGACACATGGATTTCCTGAAGCATCGGCTTAGACATCACCTCCAGACCCTCAATGATCCATTTTCACTGGGGCCGAATCTGAGGGTAAAAATTCTCTTTGCTTAGAAAGAACTGAAGGAGACCCTCATGCTGGTCAAACTGACCAAGTGAAGATGAAGTAGCTGGCCCTCCTGGACACCTCTGTCCACGTCTCCTCACCTCAACCCACACTGTACCTGTGACACGTTCTCAGGCTGCTCACAGCCTGGGCCCAGGGGCTGTGTGTCCTGAGGTTGGTACTCAACCTCTCTGAGCCTCTGCTTTGCCACCTATAAACAGGATATAGCAATCTCCAACCTCAAGCCTCATGGTTAGGAGGAAAGAAGGCCACATATATCAAAATCCCCACAGTCCCTGGTATGAGGAAAGTCACTGAGTTAATAACATGAATGAAAAAATAATAACATAGTTACACTAATTTCCATGGATTGATGCTGCCGTTCTTCTTGGCAATTCTATTTCCGTCTTTGAAGAAGTGCTTGGAGCTTTTTTTTTTTTTTTTTAAACAAAGAATAACGTCACAGATTCCACAGACAAAAAAAAACTACCATCTTCCAGAACCTACTTCAAAAGTCTCTCTGCTGTCTGGTGGGAAACGGGGGGATAGCACAGCGAGGGTCAAGATCTGGGGTGGGGGGGACTGTTTTAATCATCTGTTTGAAAAGGAATGTGCCATTAACAGATTACCAGAGGAACAGGACGTGGCACGTAGGACGGCATGGAGGGACCCCCAAGTTGTGCTAAGTGGCAGAAGCCAGTCACCAGGAAGCCACACCTGGGAAAATTCCCTTCATAGGGAATGTCCAGGACGGTGGAGTC